TATGCCCTTTCTTTAACCCAAATTGTACCCCACCCCCATATGGAAAAAAAGATTGCAGCAAAGGCTTTAATTATCCATATTCCACTGATGACTTAGCTAATTTAAAAGTTATTTTTAGGAAGGCAAAAAAAGAGCAAGTTTTAAATCCTCTCACAGTCTGTGTACCATATGCATCTTTTTTGGTTTTACACAGATTGCTAAATCGTAAGTCCTGGGCTTTCCCTCTGCAGGCTCAACCAGCTGCTGCATTAGCTGTTCCTGCATCTTTTTTTCTGTGTTGAGTGCATTTAAGCCCTTATGCAACCTAATACTTTCTGTCATTGGAATAATTTTTTATTTTTATCTGCACTCTGGTTTGCAGTAGGGCTTTCTTTCAATTCCTGCAGTAAAGAAAAGCAAATAATGACGATACACTTCTTTACAGTGACAGGATGTTTATCAGTCACCTTGCACTTTCTTTGATTTTGTACTGTTATATGTCCGGTACATCAATTTTGTGTTCGGTATTTCAGTTTATTCTTCTGAAAGACCTCTGCCTTGAAGACAACCCTAATACCCTATTTTTTCTTTTTTTTATGGGGTTTAATTTATGCAAATGTTATATGATGAATGTAAACACTGTTTATATACACACATGGATAACATTTACAAAAAATTAAGAGATTTTTTTTTCTTTAATTTCAGCAGTTTTAATACAGTCTGAATGCTTTTCTTTTCCCATGGGAAATAATTTGTATACAGCAAATAATATGCAAAACCAGTGTGTAATGGACAAAATCAAAATAGTTATGATTGTAATTTCCAAAGCCTATTTCAAGTTACACTTGAATATATATGTAATTTGTATACATTTCAACTATTCTTTAAACTGTATTCTCCCAAATATCCATCTATTAATGTCAAACTTTTCTTTAAAAAAACCCCTGATCATTATGTTGACAGATTCTTAAGGGTGTCAATGAGTCTGTTTTCATATATTATTATATACATAAAGTAGTGCATTTCTTGCATAGGTGGTACTTTATTCAATTGCAAATGTCACTTGAATATAGCCTTAGCGTCCTTCTTCTGTATCTTGCACTGACTGCCACTGTCCTCCATATTGCCTACATTCTTTCATCTACTTAAGGTATCTTGCTTTCTGAACAGTATTTTATTGGGAAGTTGCAAAATAGGCCCTCATATACATTAACTGTTCTTAGTTTATAATTTGTAGTTGATTTTGTGGTTCCTTGAGTTTTTCTTGGTATATGCAAGGAGATTTTTTTTTTATGCAACCTCGCTTTTCAGTTTTGGAGATCATCCTTTGATTTTGTCTCATTGTAATTTTGTTCCTTACAGATTTTGTTGCCTCCACACTTGTTGCCTAGAACTTCATCTCAGGTTTTCCATTCAGTTCTTCATAGTCTCTTACACATTACATAGTAATATTTCAACTTGAATTTTTCTTTCATCTTCATTCACAATGATTAGATTTCTAACGTTCAGCTGCTGGTTTTGCAGGTATCCTTAAAGTATTGTGGTACAAGTTAACAAAGCACATTATTTACTCATGCTGGCCAATCTTTTACTACTCCTGTATATACTTGGTCATCCTTAAACCAAGGCTGTCAGGTGTCTGGATCTACTTCAGCATGTCTTGCTTACGCTTAGGATGTGAAGATGCCATTTATTTGGATTCTTAAAAAGCTGTTGGACTCAACCTTGACACTTGTGATGAAACCAGAGCTTTTCCTGTGTCCACGGCAATAAAGTCGTATCATTAGGAAGTCTGTGGTCACCATTCTTCTTAGCTATTTCTTGGCAGAAGTGGACAGTTAGTTTGATTCTAAAGTAAGTATTCACTTGAAAGATTTTGACAGGTGAAGATTTCATCTGCATGCCTGAGAGCAGTATTCAAGACTTGTTTCTTTCCCTTCTCTCTTTATTTTGCTTCACAACTGTGGTGTGAAAATGGCTGAACAGACACCATTTTTGAGCATGGGACTTTCACAAGTACTTTAGGAAATCTGCAATCTTTGCTGGAGGCTAGATGCATAACGTTGCACACATTGGAGCAAGTAGTAGCATTGGAAACACTAGAGCAAAGCACCTGGCTTTTGAAAGTACTGATGCAATCACTATGATTTTAAGCTGTAAGGAAACCTGAGACAGAGGTAGATCTCAGACATTTTATTCCTTTTTATGGACTTGTGCATGTGGGACTTGCACTTCCCACATTGCTGCTGGGAAGAGTGGTGTTTCTTCCTGATAATCTGGTTATTTGGGAGTTGATGAAAGAAAGCTAAAGGAGTGGGATTAATGGAGACTGTAGCAGAAAAAACAAGAGCAATTACAGCTATCCTGGGTAAGACATTAGTGCTGCACCTCTCAAACTGAGAATGTTTTATTTTGTTCTAGGGTAGTGTGCTGCTATAACCATATTCTCCAAGTCATAGACCTGATAATGAAAAAGTTGTAGTTCTGCCCTCTACAATTAAAAAGAAAAGTACTGTGGAGAAAAAAAACACAAAACATTTGGTTTTGATCATATTCTCCTGTCTAAAGCTGCACTTAAAATTAAATGCCTATGAATGCATGGGGGAAGGAGGCCTTCAGTCATGTTTTTTTCCTTCTGTCTTTGGGGAGGTGACAGCACAGTGGAAGGAAGAAATTTTAGTCTGTATGAGAAGCACGTGCTGAATGTGTACCTGATTTTTGTTTCATAAGGGAAAAAGATGGCGAGCCAAGAGCAATGTATCATGAATCATACTGAATCTGTTGGCTGCCAGTTAGACAAGTGATATAGAATTGTACGACCTGATTTATAAAGTGGTACCAACTCATTCACGTGTGTAAAATTATCTCACTGCTGCTTCTTTTCTTCCTTTTAGTACATTTTTCCAACTTCTGTGTTCAAAAAAAAAAGATGTTTTTCATTCAGGGAATACTTAACACAGCCACTGATTTTTTATTTTTAGTTTTTTTGGCCAGTTCTCAGACTATATTTTGACCTTGATACTTGGATCCAGCATTCACCAGTGGAAACTGCTTGCTGTGCTGTTTGGTTAAGCTGATTATCACTTAATTGTGAGGCAAAACTGACTCTTGGCAAAGTTTTAATTAATGTTTGAATATAAGTCTACTTTAGGTTGTTTGGGGAAAAAATGATAGTCAAATTAGAGAGGGTTTTTCCTATCAAAAAATTACATTTTAATTTAATGAAGATTAAAAATATCATTCAATGAAACTATTTTCTAACAAAATGTCTTACATACAGTGAAAAAAATCTTATATACATCCTGACAAACTTATTTATACCAAGAAAGGAGAAAAATGTAGACAGTTATATGAAGTAATTATATGAAGAATGAAGTAATTATATGAAGAATTGAGTGGTCAGTCAGAAGGTTTCAACATGCAGATATGATCTATTACATTCAAAATCTTGTTATGGACAAAGAGAATACACTTTATATACTGAGCTAAGCATTTATGGTTCATCTAATTAGTTTTGACTGCCTAATAATATGAAGTCCATATTATCTAATTATTAAATTTTGTTAGTAATATGGTTAAAATCTTATGCATAAACCTCCTACTAATTCCCCCTGTTATTTGTTGTTATGCTCCCCCTTCAAGGTCTTCTCGAGGTCTTAAAATTTACTCTTCAGTGTTCCTCAGAACGGGAGAAAGTATTTTAGCAGTAAATAACATTTGGGGTTCTCCACCTCATCTTCAATTCTGAAGTCTGCTTGAGTCTACTTTTTTGTGTTTTCTTAAAGGTGTATACTTGCTGTTCCTTACTGCTTCCCAGGCAAAGTTTGGGAGCCGCAGGCTGCCCTCTCCCAGCCCCATTACCCCAGAGGGGCTGTTTGTCCTGCAGTGACCAGGTAGGGCTGCCAGGCCCTGCCCCTGGGCACTGCCTGAGTGAAGCCAGCGTAGGGAGGCCACAGTCACATGGCCACCAGGCAAGTGCTGCCGTGGCTAAAACCAACTTCCACCAATGCAGGACCAGACACATCCTGGGACTCAGTGCTGTCTGCTGCCCTCCAAGCCTCTAGCCCTGGGTTAGTGTTGGCAAAAAAAAACATTTACTGGACTGGAGAAGACAGCATCCCAAATATTTGCCTTGCAATTGTTACTGACTCACAAAGAGATGTTACAGTAACCTATGAGTAAGAGCTGATCTCAGCATGTGTTTGCAGTGTTGAATCTATAATATTTACCATTGCTGGCACACAGAAGATTGTGTAATGCAGTTTTGGTCAGACAGCTACCTAAAATATTTATCAGTGTGAGAATGTGGTCCTTTGTGTTCAGAACAAATGGTTTGATGTTTTTAAATTATTTAAAAACTTTACATGAGTGACTCAGAAATCTCGTAAGTTGTCTGACACTGGTTTGTGATGCTTAACTCACATTGCTTAGAAATCAATAATAGAAATGAAGAGCAATTGCTTAAAGAAATGACTTTAGAGGTCAAAATCCAGATAATAAAGAAGAAGGAAAGCAGCCTCTTTTTATTATATTCACCTGGACTCATTTAAAACTTGCAGATATTCATGCATATGTTTTATTAAATGAAAGCAATACATCTCTAAACCCCATAATTTTTAACACATAGAATTTTGAAACTGACTGGGGCAATGATGGACTTTATTGATTTTTTTTTAACTGCTTTAAACATCTGGTAAACTGAAATCAGTAACCCTTGCTGTGAATGTGCATTTATTACAGCCAAACTTTGAAAGCTTGATTTCTGGTGATTACTGCTACAAAGTTTGTTCTGCACAAATAAATTTATTTTTTACTCTATTACATCACATAGTAAAGTTTAATAGCTGTTTTCAAGTTCTTTTCACTGTACTATAAACAATTTAGGAAACTCCAGTCAACATACTCTCACATTCTGAGGCTTCACTGAAAGCATGGGACAAAGATTTGTTCACTGAATGACACCAAGCAGATAGAATTGCTAGTATGACTTTTAGTAACACATTTTCCTCTTACCTCTGCAGACTATGGTACTATTAAGAAAGTACTTGCCCCAATGAACCAGACTTCCAGCAGCTGCCTGCTTGAGGAAATTGAACTCCTACCAAAAAGTCAACGAGAGCCCATCAGAAGCCTTCAGATCCTGCACAGCCAGAGTGTCCTTTTTGTGGGCCTTCAGGAACATGTGATTAAGGTCCCTCTGAAGAGATGCCCCTTTTACAAAACATACAGGTATGAAGAATTAACTAATTTGATTTGATTGGTGAAAAATGCTTGGGGGAGAGTGGTGCAAGAAAAATGGGAAGGAAAAATGCAACTAGGAATGCACATAAATTACCTCTCTGAATAGTTACTTTCCATGTACACTACTTACAGAATTGTCTCTGACTTCTTGTGCTAACTTGTTAGGACTAGATGAGACTCACAAGGAATTTATACTGATATTTAAGTGTCATACAGATTCTGAATTGTGAAATGAAACAGTAAGAAATGGTTTATATAGAACAAGTATCTGATAACGTGCTTCCCTGTTTTCTTGAACATAACATGATTATGCCACTCTGGTTGTACAAGACATTAAACATGTTTTCTTAAGCATATGTGTTTATTTCAAGAAGGGAGATTGGGCTGTTATCCTGTGTTTTCTTAGGGACTCTGTAAACACAGGGAGCTCAATAACACGGATGTCCCATATTTACACCAAGTCTGCTCTCCACTTGAAATATTTCACGTCTGGAACCTTATTATGTTATTAATGAGATGTGAACTCCAAAATGCAGAGGTGAGACTTCCAGAGCACCTGCTTAACTGGCGCCTGTGTGGAGGTCCCACAGGGCCCCTGGTAGCTGTGGTTCTGTCAGGACAATTCTCAAGGGACATCAGTGCAGCCTTGGCTGCAGGGCCCAAATGTGCTTCTGCCCTCACAGGGTGGGACTGCTGTCTCAAATTGAAAACCGCATACATAGCTGCAGGCTAGGCATTCCTTTCCCTTCTTCAGTAGTGGGCTCTAACTGACTGATTTTAAGCATGTTTAAAAAAAAGTGGTACTGTTCCAAATTTACTGAGTAGAACAGTAGTTAAATGACTCATCTGAACTGATAATTTATTCCTCTGCCCAGAGGTATATGTAGTCTCATCTTCCACTGCAATGACTTACTTAAAAGGAGATGCAATTATTACTTGTGGGGATTTTCAATCATATCTTATGTAGTTATATCATTTTACTTGGAATAATTAAATATTCATTGCACCAAAAGGGTTACTGTCCACACTTTCTTCCTGGTTACAGAGTTCACCAGCAATTCTAGCTCTTTTTTTGAGAAAAGAGAGGATTTACAGCAGTGATCTAGATGAAATAAGGCATCTTCTCATCATCTATCATTAGATGCTCGGATCATTTGGAAAATGCATAATTTATCACTCCTCTATCACTTACTTTTGGCTTGACTAGTTTTTTCCTGACTTATGCTGGACTTCAAGCATACTTTGCTCTCTACATGTGGAGAGAGTATAGGTACCTTACTTGGGACTATAAATTTCACTAGGTAATGAAACACCTGAAATTAAGTCGTTGCATTGCCAGTTGCTTTAATACTCACATTCTTGTTATATGTTGCCAACTATTAATTCTATATTATAGCAATGGTTAAATAGAGTAATGAGTAAACACTACCTAAGGAAAATGCCTTAGGGCATTGTGGTTCTTTTTTTAGATTATTTTAATTTTATCTATTCACATTTATCATACTAAGGGCTGTATAACTGTGCCAAGGCTATATTCTGAACTTCCATCAATAATAACGAGAGTGTCTTCCCCAGATCAAGGGCATGTGTAGTCTGTAGTATCTACTTCACATAATCTTTGAGAAATAGAGCATGCTTGTGTATAAATAACAGTCTTAAAAAAGCCAAAAGGCTGAAAATGTACTAGCTCGTCTGTCTTGACTTTTTCTGTCAATGGCAGTGTGTGCACCATCTAATCTTTTCTAATATTTTGTTTAGGTTTATTACAAGGTTTTCAGACAATATAACTTTAGTCCCTCTGTTAAGCAGACTGTTCCACAAGCTAATATCTCAATGTCAAGATTATTTTCTTGAGATTGCCTATTTTTTAATTATTCCTTGTTTGTTCTTCACATACCAGCTTCTAAAGCATGTGTTCATTGCTTTTATTTGTAGTTTATTATGTCTCCTTAATTATCAACCTGATATGCTCTACATATTTAGCTAATTTCTATTTCCTTGTAAATCTGTTCCTCCAGCACTTTCTTGTGATGGAGCACACTGTGACACAGCATAGCCTCTGACAGATATTCCCGCTGATTCAGGACAGTCCTCTTCTACCAGTTCAAGGCTCTGCTCCCACGAGCACTGTTATCAAAGGCCCTTGAATATATTGGTTTACATTTGGAGACTGAATTTGTTTTGTGTGTGTGTGTTCTAGGTGTAGTTCAGTGAATTTTTTTGCAGTGACATCTGACAATACCACGGGCAGAGCCTGCTGTCACACCTGTAGTTTGGGTTGCTCAACACTCTCCATTATGACATGATTTTTTTGATGTTTATGGGTTACCTATTTTAGTTATTTGGATTGACAGTTTTCTTGGAGGACCCCCTCGGACTTCTTCCAATGGCTGAATAATTTTGAACATCCTGTCATAATCCTGCTGTTTTCAGGAATCAGCTGAGGAAAATAGTTTGGCCCATGTGAATTCTTACAAACAGTTCTCCAGAAAAACGGAGCAGTTCCCTTAGTTCAGCTCTCCTTGGGGAAAATCCTTAAGATTTGGCCAGGAGGTTATGACTTGCGTATTGCCACTCACACATGTTTATCAAACTTTTACAGAAAAACGTCGACATTATTCACTGGTGCTATTATTTTCACGAAAGATTCTCCAGCTCTCTGTACTTCTTTAGAAGTAGTAGGCCAAGCACAACTGACTTTTGTATGCCCACTAATTAACTATAATGCAAGATAAAATAGAATATTTATCACAAGAAGGTAGCTATTAAACTCCCCACAGTTGCAGTGTTTGCTATTTACTTTGAAGTCTCTAAGCATTGGCAATAAGGAGTAAGATCTGTAGTGGGGTGGAGGGTGAAGACTCCATCACCTGAAACAAAGAAGCAATCAGCTTTCCTTTCTTGGCAGCTGTAGCCTTCAATAGCAACACCGGATGGCAGTGATTTCTTTGCGGCAAATATGTCAGTGTAACATTTTGTACTGGAATTTTCAGTGCATCATTTTCAAAAGTAGGGGCAATGAAAGGTTGTATCAGTCCAATGTGCTGCAAAACCTTACCAAGCAAGGGTCAAGAATTGGTGTTTCTGATGGAAGAGAAGTTTCACACACGTAAAAGTCTTGAAAACTAATCTTACTATGATGTTATGTCTAAGTAAATAAACAGTGCCATCTGCTAAAAGCTGTACAAATAGTGACTTTCTGGTGTAAAAACCCCCAACTTTTGGGATTTTTTGAGTATTGTTTTTTAATGCTTAAAATGTTATTGGGTCACAAGTTTGTTTTGCTAAGTAATGTTATCACAGCTATTCAGCTGTAACCTTGACTTTTCTCTCTCCATACTCCATCATTTTTATTTTGTCTTCTTTGTTAACCATCAGCTATGCAATCCGTACATATGTAAAATATAATTGTAGCAGCACAGTAATAAGAGGCGTACTGGATTAACTTAAGAGTAGAAAACAATTACTGCAAATTTTGTTCTGCTTTATTTCATTTTTAGAGCTCTGGCAAGATGATTGGATTAAGCATTTCAGCCACTGTTGGATTCCTTTGTTTTTCCTTGGCTGTAGATGTTGATTGCTCAGAAGTACACTCACATTCAGTACAAACCTGTTCTGCTGGGAATAAAACACTGTAGCTATCATTACATAGTAGAATAGTGATTCATATATACTAATATTATACAAGTTAACAACCAGTAATGTGGTCTAAACTATTACTAGGTGCTAATGTGTCCAGAAAAGCTTGCCAACACATGGATTTGTAATTGCTGTTTTGAAGTAATCATTCCAGAATAGTTATTTTTGGATATCCAGGTGGATTTCTTTATTTCAAAATATGCAAGCCTCATTCCAGTTTAAATCAGCCAAACACACTGCTGCATTAGAATGCTGGAAACACTTGAGACCTAATCTGAATTAGTGACTCCAGTGTAATATTCCGGAATCAGAATCTTCATAAATTTCCCAAACTAGGATAAACCATAATCCTGACTGCAAGACTAGATTAGAAGCACATTTTTAAAATGTGAATTCTTTTTTTAGGTATTAGATACACTGCAAAATTATCTTCAGTTGGTGTGAACTTATAAGAACACTGGTAAAGTCAGCAAAACTATGGAAAAAGCACAGTTGAAAACCTTCCTCACTCAAAAGAAGTACAATACTGGTTCCATACTGGGGAGAGGAATCAATTAAAGCTCTACAGATCTGAGGTTGACCTGTATTTCTTTCTTCCTCTGTGAAGCCCAAAGTGATTGCAGAAAGTGTTTCTGTCTATCTGGCCTACAAAATGCATCACAGACAAACTGTGCATTTACATTTTGCTGCACCTGAAATATTTAGTTGCAAACTCTTTACAGTGTGCAATCTATGCATGTATATATTGTATTGTAAGCACACATTTTTGGCAAACAAGAAGGAATTTTGATAAAAAGGTAGAATTTTACAGCCTGCTCCCAATGTATTTATTGCAGTACCCTATGAGGACAAAGTGTAGGTTTTAGTTTGCAAAGTTGTGAGAAAACCAGATGGACTTTACTACATATTTGCAATTCAGATTTTATTAGTACAATACTATTTTAAATAAAGAAGTGAGCTAAGAAATAAAAATTCAAATCAGACATGTGGTTTTCATTTGGCATGATATAATTCATTTCTTTGCTTTAAAAAATAACAAAAGTTTGGAGAATTTTAAGTTCTGTGTAGTTACTGTTAAGTTTTTCTTGGAAATCACCTGACGTGTTTAAAACAACCCACTTTCCAAGAGGTCATTTCACTAATCATTTGATACTTGGCAAATGTATTCACTGGAAGCAGAAGTTAAAGGAACTGAACGGTTTTAAAACAAATGAACAAACAAGCAAAGGCAAAACTTGAAGACTTTTTGTTTTAAAATAATTTAACATATCAGATACTGGACTGCCATGCAGTCAGGCTGGCACTTCTCAGCTTACAATGCACTGTGTTATACCGTAGTTGTTTTCTTA